GACATGAAGAAGTGATTGCCTTCATAATCACAATAAACGTCATATATTTTTATCTTAAAACATTTACGTCAAGGATAAAGCCTAAGTTATCTCAACAAGTAAAATTAATTAAACGTAGATGACATTCGAACCCAAATTGATGAACGAATCTCTCTTCGAAGTCCTTTTCGAGAGCTTCAATAACAATTTTTTATACAATTAACAGATTATGGGAATCAGATTATAAAAATAAAAATAATAAAGCACCAAACTAAGAAAAATTGAGAAAATAGGGACCATATTCATCATTTACATAGTGTGAATGCGGCCGTTGAACGTGGAAATCTAGATTAGACACTGACAAAAAGTCTCACACGCCCTGTCTTTACCCCTCTCTCCATCATCATCGTCATCTCCCCCTCTCTCGCGGCCTGCAAGCAAGAAGAGAAATGAAATGAAACACGAAGCAACACATAAATCAAGAGGAAACAAAGACTCGTCTCTCTGCAACTCATGGCTTCTCTCCTCCCATTCTTCATTTTCGCTTCTCTTTCACTCGTTAATGCTCAATCTAATTCCACTTTCACTCCCATCAATCGCGATCTCTACCACTCCAGGTAATTAATAATAAATCGAGATTATCTTTCTGTTGAATGAAATAGTGCCTGATTTCTATTTTCATTGTTTTTGTTACAGCGCTGATTTGTTGGAGCAAATAAAGGCATTGGTACACCGTCACCCAGACAAACTTACCGTACGTTTTTCTTTTTATGGTAATAAATGTTTGTGTTTTTTTTTTGTGTTCTTTTAATGTTTTTTTAAGGTTGTGATGATGGGTTGCTATTCTTTTTTTAATTTAATAGGTCGAGACAATTAAAACAGGAAACAGGGGTTATAAAGCGGAGATTAGTGTAGTTACTTATTGCAGAAGTAGAAAAGAAGCTGATGACAGGACGAAGTTTCGGATTCTTCTTGTAAGTTTTCTCCTTTTTTTTCCCGAATTGTTTATGTATTGCTGGAAGAACCCATCAAGTAGTATGATTTAAGGAATTTCTTGGTTTTTTGGATTAAAGGAATTCGATTTGGTGTGTAGCGGATTAGTTTATTGAAGATTGGTATTTTGGTGTGATTGGTAATTGCTGGTTTTGTTGACAGATGATTCCCTTGTCTTCCAGAGTTTCGGGCAACATGGGAGGGAGCTAATTACAACAGAGCTTGCATTCCGGATCCTGTCGATTTTAAGTGAGGAACAGTTTCTACCCGATGTAGATGCTGCCACTTTGAATAATATCCTAGACAAGCTCGTCATAAAGGTAGTTTAAATATGTCGCAGCCACTAATTTTCCTTATGGCTGAATCGTGTCTCTATTGAGGATAGTTACAACCTTAGAAGCCAGAGATATATGTTCATTACTGTTATCTACAAGCTTATGTTTCGGAATGCTAATTTTCAATGGCATGGCAGGTGGTGCCAATGGAAAATGTGAATGGACGGAAACTTGTTGAAGGAGGAGATCTTTGTGAGAGGAGGAATGGTAATGCTGTTGATTTTTAAGGTTTAATATGACTGTTTGGAGAGTTATAGAAGTGATTAAGTTTATTTTTTTGGCAGGTAGAGGAGTTGATCTCAACCGGAATTGGAGTGTTGATTGGGGCAAAAAGGAGAAGGTGTGTTCTGCATATTAAATTTAATACCATTTGGATACTGTTTTACATAACAACAACATGAGCACATCATTGTGAATTGAAATCTTTGTACACTGGATTATAAATGGGCCTTTAGAATAACCAGTAAAGTTCTTCCCTTGTCTCTATAACTGAAGGATTTGATTGTCATAATTCAGTTCAATAGTGTGCTCCTATGTGATGTGGTTTCTTTGCCTCATATTTAGTGCTTCTCCAATTACAGGACTATGATCCATATGAAGAAAATCCTGGAACTGGTCCTTTTAGTGAGCCTGAAACTCAATTAATGCGGAAACTTGCCTTAACATTCGATCCTCACATATGGGTTAATGTGCATTCAGGAATGGAGGTGAGCAGTCCTAATAAACATCTTTTCTTTTCATTCCCTTTCATTGCCTACTTTGGTTTGTTATAAAGTGCTTCTTTTCCTTTTCATTTAGGGTTGCATGATTTCTTATCTGTTTTTGTTTTTCAGGCATTATTCATGCCTTATGACCACAGGAATACAACCCCTGATGGTGAACCATCAGAACAGATGAGGTCATTGCTTAGTAAACTGAACAATGTTCATTGCCACAAGCGTTGTATGATTGGTTCAGGAGGCGGCTCTGTTGGGTTTGTGCTACTTAAAACTGAGAACCTGTGTCCATTCAAAATCTCTGACTTTCCATTTTTTCTAGAGAAACAACAGCAAGTGTAGTGTCTTAATAGTGGTTACTGATGAGTGTCCATGAGCCTACAATACAATTAGTTCCTATTTTTGCAAAGCATGCTGTCATACGGACCTTACCACTTAATCACAGTGCATTGCATACAAGTGACACATGGACATACTAATGGCTTTGTGATATGGCCATTTTTTATCCCTCTAGGCCTTCTGATGGGACATCATGTAGCTTTAGTAAATATGGCCATGCCTGCATTGTCCAAACTTCTGATTTGTAGCTGGTTCATATGTATTGTTCTAGACTTCTTGACGCAGTGTATAGCAAGGATAAAAGCTAGGGTTCCTCAATCCCTAAAGTTTTAAGGGCCTAAACTATAGAGAAAAGGGCTAGGGTTCTCAGTAGAGAAAATTGTAGAGAAAACTCAAGGTTTGTTTCATTAATCTTCAATAAAAATGATTATATGCTAGTAAAAAGTCCTCAACAAAACTGGAAAAATAATGAAAGTTCTAATCTAATTAGGAAAGAAAAAGAATCCTAAATCAACTATGAAAATATAAATCCCAAACAGTAACTTCTAGGTCTTAACTTCTAGGTCTTATTTGAAGACCTTCCCAACCTCTAATTAATGATAATGAAATTTTAACCCTGGACCTTTAAATTTTTCTATTAAATTTTCAGCTTAATTTGATGTGGACAGATCAAACTGCATGTTTGGCATGTTTGGGCTTCTTTGTAGGCTTGACCTTGGTTATCTGGTCTATGAAAATATTAGCAACACGTTTCACGTCACTTCAGTCTAAAACATCCGGGTACTTCGGCTGTTATAGCCTAGTGTCTTCACGGCCTGCAAGGCCTTTGGAGTTGCCATGCAGCTCTTGCTAGCATGAAATTCCTTTTGCATAGTTCCAAGGATTTCTATGCCCTGGTTCCACATATTATCATCTTGAAGGAAATATGATTTGCCTTACAATTCTAAAAATTAGATGGTCTCATGCCGCTTTGCAATTTTAAAAATCCGACATGTTTTTGTTTAATGCTTTAATATAGGTATCTTGCACATGGGACAGCAACAGATTTCATGTACGAAGTTGTAAAAGTGCCTATGGCCTTCACCTTTGAGGTTTGTGAAATATGAACTCCTTCCATAGAATGCTTAAAAATTAAAAGCCAGTCTCTCTTTAACTTTTGTTTCATGCTATAACTGGCAGATTTACGGAGATCCTACAGCTTCATCAAAGGACTGCTTTAAAATGTTCAATCCTGTTGATTTTACTACCTTCCATGTAAGTTGGATTGCTATTCTTTATTTTCTTTTTAGTTTCATGTTTCATCAATGTTTAACCAAAATAGCATCTGTTTGGTGATGGAAAGAATCTAAACTTAACTATCAAAATTTTCTTTTTGTGTACAGGGAGTTCTCAATGACTGGTCCTCTTCGTTCTTCACAATTTTTAAGCTGGGACCGCACCAGCTAGATGGAAACAGTTCAAAGGAGATGGCATCCAGTTTGGACAAGTTTGTATCGATTGATGAGTATCTTGACGGGTACTTGGTGGAGAGGAGAAATAGATATGGTAAAAAGATGGAGGTGCTAGATGTTGGGATGCAGGAGATAAGGACGTATTTTAGGCTTTTCTTATTATCATCAGTTTTGTTATTGTTCATGTTCTGTTCTAGAATTGCAAGGAGCAAGTCCAGTAGACCTATTGTTTCAGCCTTACCCGTCTGACATTGTATTGTGTACTCTACATTGTTTAGAAAAAGATGTATTAAGTATTTCCTATAATCTAAAATTAGTGTAATTAAGCTTCATCTAGAACTTTTTTTTTTTTCTTCCATGATCTAATATTGGTTTCTCTCAATGAATTGCCTATCATCTGCTCTCTAATGCCACAATTGAACTTGAATCTGATGGGATTATAAGCTTTACACAAACCAACAAGGCAAAGGGAAGGCTAATAAAGAAAACAGTTATCATATGAGAAAATAAAAGATGCTTACCATAATTCATCGGGAAGGAAATTTCATGGATTTTGTTTGGTTGAAATTTCCTGTCACGGACAGGAGGGTGGTATTTAATCATTGAATCATGAACAGTATCTGTATTTCTGTTGGGATACAAGAACGATATAACTGATGCAGCAATAGAAAATAACCCTGGCAACAATTACGTATCTCATTACCATGGCGTGCGGTGAGAAAAATTATTAACAGCTAAACAAATGGGAGGAGGGAGGAGGTTTCCTCAAATCCTGTGTTTCTTATCTCAAGTATACGACACTTCATGGATGCAGACAGCCATTAGCTCCTGAAGCGGAACCCCTTTGCAAGTCATGTGAGGATGTGCATGTATGAAGTATTTCCTGCAAAACCGTAAGAGTCTAGAGAATGAGAATGACTTCATGCCATGGAGGATAAGATACATGCTAATTATCGTAAAATGACAACAGTGCAAGGGTATGCAGGCACAAACCTCAAACAAGAAAATCAAATTTGAATATAATAATGATCTCTTATTTCGGTATGGCTGGATAGCTTGGGCTTCTCATCTACAATTCTAGTGTTTGCTTCATGTATTTCAGAGCAGAGCGTAACATTGCTCTAGCTTTCCTATCTGGAGTGCACCCAGACAAAATCATTTCTTCATACACAGATGGAACCTGAATCACGCAGAGGATCTCGCATATGACAGACGTCAAAACCAATTATCCAAGCACAAAGTTATAGAACAAGGGTGATTGATAGGCATGTATTCAGACATTGTAACTATATAGCTAGGGCATTTAAGATATGTGTTAGACAGGAACAGCAATCTCATCTAGCATATGCCCAAATTTGATCTTTATGTGACTTCCTATAATGCAAGTCCAAAATTAGTGGATACACTATAAAGTTAAAGTGAACCACTGTTCTAGTTGCTAATCCAAGTCCAAAGGCTCTGAAGTCTGAACTTCCAGCTCAGATACAGACATGCAGTATAAGCAAAAAACAAACAGACAAAACTGCAGGGTGACACACACCATACAATGGTTATGCAGGTTAAGGTTAAAAGGTAGTTATAAACTATACATCAGATATTTTATATAATGTTTCATTTCTAGGTAGAAGTGATGAGAAATTATGCATCCAATTGATTAGATTATTGAAAGGGAGGTAGCTCAATGATTGATAGTAACAACTGAAACATCTAAATTTTGATATACGGATCACTGCAAACAATTTATCAGCCCATGATATATGCAGCGTTCAGCTTTATTATGTCAGCAATACCTTAAGAAAAGGATATGAAGAAAAGGAGATCGACAGTGAGCGGTGGATGTACAATGGGTACAAAATGCCAAGGTTGCAGTATCAATATCCATACACATCACAAGAAAAAAAGACAGCGCACCAAGATTTCCAAACACGTGCATATGACATGGGTATCTGGGATTATGGGCATGACTTGTCTGCGAGCAATATAACAAATATTATACCTTATCAAACTTCTCAACACGAATCAGAGCTTTCATAAGTGTTGTATAAGTAACCACATCTGGCTTCAAGTCCTGCAGTTATTGAACCAATGGACATTTATAAAAGGGCAAGACAACCAATGGATATTCACGAACAACTACTAACTAATGCTTACATTTTCCTTCATGTACTGCAGCACTGTAAAGGCTTCAGCATCCCTCCTATCCTCACCAAATGCATTGATCAACGAATTGAGAGCTAGATGACTAGGCTTTAGACCATCAACCCTCATTGCCCTAAATGCACTTACAGCTTGCTCAGACAAACCCTGTAGGAAAATGAAATGCAAGATCATTAAAAGGTCAGACTAGTAGATCCTTTGTATATTACAGAGTTCCAATTTGCACAAAAAGGGTAGAGAATGCATTCATTTAAACCTCCTTATGGTCTGATTTGCACATACCAAGATCTGAGCTTGTACTTCTGAGGATTAAAAGTCCCCCCCGGGAATCAAAAAGGTGCATTTATTAAACACATGACAGTGTCATCTTATTACACATGAAAATGACGAGCATCAGTGATCTCAATTGCATAGCAAATGTAATGGTAGAGGTTTAATGGTAATTATCTAAAATATTAGTCATGTTCTCCCATGTCCCATCTACACAGTAAGCACGAATGATAGGTCAGACATTTAAGCATGATCATGGATATCTAGTTTCTTGCAAGATGGATATTTCATGCAAAAGCTTATTTTTATACCCACAACGAAAATAGTCCAGGTGGCCAAGACTACGCCTGTGATCCACTGTAATCTGATTATCAGTAACCATATGAATAAAGCGTTTAGCAAGATCACAGGATAAAGCAATCATATAAAGGAGTTGGTGGTAGTGACAAGGCTGTTAACATACCCTTTGTGCATAGGCATTTATCAAAGCGTTGTACATAGTAGAGGAAGGTTTTAATCCTGCAGCCTTCATATCATCCAAGCACTCAATTGCATCATTAAACCTCCCTGATTTCCCATAAATATCAATGAGAGTCGTATACGTCACAGAATTAGGCACTAAACCCTGACTTCGCATATTTGCCAACAAATTCTTCACATCATCCCATCTCTCCTGGTCCCCAAATGAATTAATCATAATGTTAAATGTAGTATTACAAGGTGAGTACCCTCCTTCCATCATTTCCTCAAACAACTCCTCCGCTCTATCATGTTTCCCTGCCCTGCAATGACAATCTATTAGGGTATTCCATGTAACTGTATCAGGTTCTATCCCCTCTGATAACATCCTATCAAAGGTAGCCATAGCATGATCAAGACAATTAAACTTGCCGAAGGTATCAATCATAACATTATAAAATACCCTATCAGGGCGCACCCCACTGTTCTCCATTTCCCTCAAAACTTGAAAAGATTTCTGCCACTCCCCTTTATCCCGGTAACTTGATAAAATCCGACTAAAAACATATGCATTAGGCTGCACGTTACTCGCTTCCATTTCCTTCAACACAATCCTCGCACTCTCCCATCTCCCCGCATTCCCATACGCATCAATCAAGAAACTATAAGTCTGTTCATTCGGCGAAACACCACTCCTCTCCATCTCCGAAACAACAAACTCCGCATCTTTCAACAAGCCTGCTTTCACATACCCTCTAAGAAGTGCATTATACGCCCTAGTCCTCGGTTTCAATCCATTATCTCTCATTTCCTCGAAAATCGCCTCTGCTTCCACTGTCCTACCACAATTCCCTAAAGCCCAGATAACAGTCACAAGCGTTGCAGTTTTCACGCTCAGTCCACTACCTTGAACCACACCTAAGAACTCCAACGCTTTACTCAAATCACCAGCTTTCGCAAACCCAACAATGATATCATTTGATAACTGCACATCTAGTTCAAGCTTATCACACTCAATTTCCCTATAAAGCTTTTGCAAAATCGCAGAATCAACTCTATTTTTCCTCATTAACGACCTAATTATCAAACTATAATTAACAAAATCCGAGGGATAACCATCCTGCCTCATTCTAGTTATCAAATTAAGCGCCTTTTCAAGATCATTATTCCGTGCACAGGCGCTAATCAAGGCATTATAAGTTAGTGGGGTCAAATTTTGCCTCTGGGAGAGCAAAAACGCCTCGTATAGTTTCTCTGATTGACCAAGCGCGTGAATCAAGATAGAGTACAGCAACTCGTAAGAGAAACAGAGGTTATGCTTTTGCAGCCATAAAACGACAGCGTAAGCGAGACCAATAGAGGAAGAGGAAGTACAGAGAGATTTTAATAGAGAGTGCCAGAGTGGACCAGGGACTGCTCGGTATGACTCGGCCAGTTGGAACTCGGTGGGGTCCAGTGAAGTAGGAGAGGATGAGGCTGGGTCAGAGTCAGTGGAAGTGGAGGTGGTGATTTTCTTGGAGAGGTAGTCGAGGAGAGGAGTGAAGTCATAACGGCGGCTTTGGAGAGGGAGAACGTCGTCGTCACTAAAGCCTTCGATATCGTTTTGTGAAGCATAGTGTAGTCGTTTTGAGTAAGAGAGAGAGGAGTCGGTGAAATTTGCGGTGGTTGAAGTGGTGGAGAGTGGTGGTTGGAAGATAAGGTTGTGGTGGAAGATTGGAGAAGTTATATAAACTGAAGGGATTCGATTTGGGAGAGGTGGGGGAAACAAAAGCATCTTACTCGGAGATAGATGGAAACTGAGAGAGCGCGAGGGTGGGGTGAAGAGTAGAGGTGGCCTTGCGGGAAGCAATAAATATTTTATCGGGTATAGATTTTTCAAAGAATACATTAATTTTATGGTCCCTCAAAGTTTGTAAATTTATTAGATCAGCCCCTGTGTTTTAATTTTGGATATGCAACCCTCGTGCTTTTGGATTTTATACTTTTGAAATTCGATATTACAATATAATTACTTGTGGAATAATTGACTTACATTTTCAACCTCATACTAAACATCACATCCCACGTAATTGGATAAAGGGACCATGAGGTTGAGCTATAGGGATTGATTTGAAAATAAAATAAAATAAAATTAAGGGATCACGCTAGTTTTTTTCTAAATTAATGGGATGTAGATTTGGTCACGGTCGTATTTTATGTTTTATGATTTTAGCGCGTGCTAATAAGGGAACATCATATCTACTACAGTGGCCATTGATTACTTTGTTCAAGAAGAATAATAAAGACATTAAATATAAAGGGGAAATATATATAAAAAGAAATGGATATAGAATTATGTTTGGTATTAATTGATTTGATAAAACAACGATTATTTTTATAATTTATTTAGTTATGATGGATAAGATATGGTAAAATATAAAAAAATATTATTATCAATTTTATATATTTAAAAAAATAATTGGATATATACATACATACATATATAAATACATACATATATATATATATAGTTTGTATTGGATGTTTAAGTTAATAATATTATAGTAATCACAATTATAAAACTAAGACTAGCTTCATGGGTTGTCCTTTCCAATTCATTTTCTAAACCTTGTAATTAGTTAATTTTTATATTAAATTTTAAAATTATAATAATAATTATTATTATTTATATTTTGGCTTTATCTAGGTTAATTATTGACTTTAATTAACCTAAATTGACTGTTATAACTTAGGACTCGGATATTATCTCAGATTGATTCTCTAGTCAAATCGTTAAATTACGATAACAATTATTTTTATTCGTGTTTGTCCTCATAACAGATGACCTGGTTTTACTTTAGATTAACTTTTGGATTGAGTTTTAAAACTACAATAATAATTATTTTTATTATTATTTTAACTTAGGTTAAGAAATAAATCTTACTCGTGACTTGGGCTTTACCCGGGGTTGACTCTTTAATTAAATTTTAAAATTTTAATAATAACCAATTAAATTTTTACATAAAGTCAAGTCAAACCAAGTCAACTAAACATGCAACCGAGACTTTGCTTCAAATTTATCTTCGATTTTGATTCAAAAACTGCAAAAATATTTATTTTTATCATTATATATCTTGATTAAATAATTTTGAAGTTGAAAGTTTTTTTATGATTATATTTTAGAAATAAAAAAATAAAAAATACTACATGTGAAGACATAGTTTTTTTTTGTGCATGGATATTGAAAATATATAAATTTACTTTAAAGTTATTTTAAAAATATATTTATTTTTATATATTTATCTCTATCTTTTCAATCAAATATATTTTAATTTTTGCTGTCCCTTTCCTTTCCGTCCAAAACAACAATTAAACATCGCAAGGAGTGTATTGGTATGTGTTTTATTTAAGAGATGTATCGTGAAGAACATGAAATATATATTTTTCACGAGGTGGGGTGCTTTTGTAAATAAACCAAGCTTAATAGTTTAATTGGTATGTTAGTAACGGTTTTTTTTTATTTAAAAATATATTAAAATAATATTTTTATATACAAATTTATTATTTATACTGGTACATAAAAAATTTAAAATAAATAAAAATTATTGACAGAAAAACACTTTTAAAATAAAAAACAAACAATATCTAAGTAAACACGTGCAGCCATTGAATCTATAGATTAGTTGGTAAAAATTACTTGACGTGTGCTGTATCTACACTTGATACCTTTTTATTTAATTTACCATGCAAGTTCAGCCTGGCTCCTATATATCTGATACATACAACGAGATTTAAATTTAATATCAAGTTTTGAAACATTCTCCAAGTTTAGTTCTAGGGCTTCTACTAAAAAATAACCTAAAAGGAATTAATAATTTTATTTTTAAAAATGTTACCAATATGGATCCTTCTCTTGATTATATTCGGGGTATATTTGCAATGGAATTCTTTATTCTAGTATAAAAGGGCATGCAAAGCTCGTCTATGAAGAAATAAGGAAAATATTATTATTGTATTAGGAATAAAATAATC